TTATGCCATTATCAACTACCAAGGATGCAAGCATTGTTCTATGATGCGAAAGACATCAAGGATCATTAACTGCAAGTTTAAATTAAGTGAGCTCCGTTCAAAACATCCAAATTGACGCGTATTTTTAGGACATTCCCAATCAATTGGGAACTTATGTAACATTAATAGACATTGTGTTGTAATGTTAATGTATCGAGTTAAGTAATTGTGTTTAGTTGTGAGATTCAACTGATAAGAGATTTAAAGAGCTAATGGTGTTGTCAATATGAGAATTGTTCCCAGAAAGAAACTACATTTCATTCATTTGAAGCATACCATCGGACACAAAGCCTAGTGTGAATCTACGGGAAACGAACTATGTGTCTAGTACCTAAGTCATCCTTTGTGATATGTTTTGAATGAGTGTATATACTTCATATTCATTAATATCTAGCACATTGGCAATTCTTCTCTCAAAATGTGACGACCGGTCACTTTGGGTGTTTTATGAGCGAACCAGCCACTCAGCCGTACCCAACCATTATCCGTGCAGATGTGGAATGATGACTTAGCATGGGACCCATAGTGCAGTCACTCAGGAGGTGTTTACTTTGCAGAAAACACCCTGGAAACAAGCTGAGCTCAAGAGACAGTTACTTTGCGTCAATTTTTTGCAATGCACCCCTTGAGTTTAATATTAGGAGGGGGGGTCTTTTGCAAAGCCTCCTCTATCATCTCTCTCATATGTTCATCTCTACTCCGCTCCACCGCTCTTAGGCAAGTTGGCAGAGGATACACGCGGCGCCTCCATGCCCATTGTGCCTTCCCACCATTGCCTACTCCTGCCATTTCCATCTTCCCTGCATCGCCATTCCCTCTAATGCTCTTTTCCCGCCATCGTCCTCTCCCGCTCCCACCACGATCAGCTCATTTTATGATGACGTCGGCCCGCACGATTTTGGCATAGCCAAGCAACACCATTGCTCAGTACTACTCTCATTTAGCACAATGGTGAGGAAGCTTCTCACCTCGTGGGACTCCATCGATGGGCGGCTCCACAACGGCACCACCGCCCAGCGTCGGGGATGGGCGACTTCTCGTCTGGTATGGGCCGCTCCAAGTACGACACATTCAACTTCTCCTCTAGCATGGGCGGCTACTACAACTCCTCCGACATCGAGCCAGCATCACCAGAGCTCTCTGCTAACCACCAGAAGATTGAGCAGGAAAATGCTGAGGAAGAGGAGGCGCTCGAGGTGATGTAGGCACAACTGCACAACAACATCGGCAACAGTGATCATGATAAGTTCTTTCCTGCCAAGAAGGTAGTTTTTTGGGCTGCCAATGCCCATGATATGAGGCGTATGTGCTCACTGTGCAATAATAGGAGGCCCGCATGGTACACAACAGCAGCGCAACCAGGCGATGCTCACAATATCTCTTTCCACTACATAGGCCGAGGCGATCCAGCATCAGGCTGTCGAAGCAGAGCGCCTTGCTGCCAAGGAGCATAGGGTGACTAGCGAGGGTACCTTTGCCTCCCTCAACTCAGTAACAAACTACATGTGCTCAATTTCAAATAGGAGAGCATGCATCATGCCTACTCATTGTACTGAATATTCATAGCTGGACTTGATTCACTGCTAGACAGAACATGTTATCAAATTAATAACATTTTCCTTTGGTCTTTTTGAAAAAAAAAATATTCACAGTTGGATTTGATTTTGTCAGGAGCATTTTGGGATGAGATCAAACAATTTACCTAAAATTGGTACCCCAAAAACCTTCGAACAATGTCACTGTCTTCTTTTGCCACAGGACAAGCAGGGTCAAGTAGGTGAATGCACTTGTCTGCCTTGTGCTCCACACCATTGAACTTGGTATCAAAATGGTATTGCGGTAGCCGAAAGTCGAATTCTGACAACTCCTAAAAATGAAATATTTCTACGCAAAACCTGAGCAGTCATGCATATATGCTCGAGAGAGGACTTGGTTTACTTACCTGAGAGCTTGTCTTTGGTCACCAGTAGCACACATTCATCGGCTTCCATTCCTCTCTCATGTGCTTCAGCCCGCTGGCGCCACCCATATCACCAAACAATAGATGCCACCGCTTGCGCCGTCCATATCACCAAACAATAGATGCCACCGATGGTCACGCCTCCTCGTCCTATTCATGTCGGCGATGCCTAACCGACATGGTCCACATAGCCGTGCAGGGTACCTTCCACTGCCGCCGCTGGCCTGCATAGGATCAGGATTTTGATGCTCGATTTGACAATCAAGGGGAAAGGGAGCTCAACATCTTTCCAAGATATTTTCTACAAATTAAAGCCTCCTAAGAGACTGCACTATGGGCCCCATGCCAAGTAAGCCCGCCACCTCAACCCCGTTATAGTTGGAAATGACGGAATGACCAGTTCCATCATGAAGTAAACCAATGTGATCAGTTCACCACATTTTGAGAGAAGTGTGACCAATGTGCTCATCTCGCGGGAGTTGAGTGACCAATGATGCGTTTATCTCTCTACAAATTCCCTTCATAGAAACTCTTTATGAAAATTTATTTAAAAATTTTCCTCGTTAAAAATGTCATGGTACAAAAGCACTACAAGAAATTGTTCAATTAGAATACAATAATTCATGGCAAAGAATGAAGTATTGTGAATAGTTTTATTTTTAGAAAAGGATACGTATACATTTTGTTCCATATTTTAAGTTTCATCGTAAATGGTACGACATGCATGGCACTATCGGGGTACGAAACATCTTATAACAAGGCGACATTATAAGACCAATGGCATGTATGGAACATACCTTTTACGCAACTTAATACACCATCATCACATCAATTATTTCCTATAAAACTCGAGATACTAACTACTCACTTTTGTAGTTTTCAAATGAACAAAAGCCTAATGTGACATGCTAAAAATTTCTCAACAACCATGATGTCACTATAGAATTTACCACACCCACCCACCCATAGAAATTTATATTGATTTTAGCATCACAAGCCTCTCCATGGCCGGTCCCCGTTGAAGGTCACTACTTGCAAATTGCAACCACACTCACTTAAATTTAGTGTCCAAACCACACCCCGATTTGGTGTAGCAATCATAAACTAAACCAATGTTGTGAGTCATCTCTCAAACTGTTCATGGGCTGGGTTATTGGGCTTAGTGCCTCAGTATGACTATAGAGACGTGTGAATTGTTAGGACAAAAATATTCCTATGTCCCAAACCATGCACAATACCTATCTATACATAGGCTGCCCATCATGACCATGAGTGGGTAGTGCTAGCTTTGTTCCCTACTATTCAAGAGTCTCCCTATTCAATTGCATCTCCCGCTCAATAAATAAATAAATTCAATTGCATATCCCTTGATCTCATAGTTGCCCTACCTTCTCCGCATCAAAATCGTTGCCTCTATAGGTAGTCCTCTCTTGTGTCCTATTATTCACAAATCACAGTCCTCCCCTTACTTGCGCCATGTATGATTCATGTTGAGTTATTGTGTTCCATTTCTCATTGCCCGTCGATTATCGATCTCAACATAATCTTCCTAATCCTCATTCGGAAACTATCCATCGGAGATCTAAGGCCAGTGTTTGGTGAACAACTAAGGTTACACAGAGTCATCATAAAGAAGGTCGATCATAAATTTGCCGACTCAACGATCTGAATTTGTAAAAATAGACCTCAATCTCTTGTTCTTTTTATTCTCGTTCCTTGTGAATCTAAAAAGGCATTCCCATGCTTGTCATTGGGATAAATTATGAAGAAGGAATGTTTAGGTCTCTATAGACATGACCCTCGCTATCTAGGTTGTGCTTGTAGTCCTTGAGGTAGAAGATTTTCATTTTCTATGAATAACACGAGCAACCATACATTTGTGTTAGGATATGAAATACTTTTTGAAGGATACATAATGATTTTTCACTTAGGTGGTTGGTCCATACACAATCGAATTGACCCATGATGAGGCCTTGCATTTCATTAACTGTCTTTTGTTGCTGGATCGTTCTCATCTCGTATCATTTGTATCTTTTGCCGAGATCTCTCCCCATTTTTTCACTGCCTTGCTCCCTATTTCTTTATCTCACCATACTCCACGATGGGAGCTGCCTTCCCCATGAATTTCGATGGGGCAAAGATTGAGATACATTCCGCATTGTTCGTGGTACATTGTGACAACATGTTGTCATGCTTCTCTTGTCATACGACATCTCCACTATGCACATGCCTAGATAAGGGAGGAGCCAGTGATACCATACGGGAGGGACGTCGCTTGCATCATCGTGAGCTCATGGGTGATGCTTTTCTTATCAAACGGTGGTGAATCACCTCCCTTCATTTATATTTGTGAGAAATTTTCGTCTCAATTGTTACTTGGGCTGCCATGAGATGTACATAGTGTCGGGCACCATGCATTTCCTATGTTATGCTTGAAATTTTTTCATTGCAATTTGCTCGATTACTAGATTTATTGGTCGATTGAGATGGAAGTTACACAGCACTAGTGCTCTCCACTACTTCTGGTCAGCCTTTTTTTCAATTTTTTAAGATTGCAGGACAAATTGGTTTAGCATGATTAAAACTGGTGTTGTGTGATTGGTTGATTGTATTGTTCAAGTTACCTACATTTTTTTCTTGATTTTAATCTGGCAACACTACATTTGTTCTATATTACACGACATGATAATTCTTTGCCCAAAAAACCCAAATATTTTGCAGTTTTTGTTATTGTCTTGAAAATTGAAATAGTGATTATTGTAGATAAAATTTGCATTGAGGAAAGTTTACTCTTGTCGACTCTACACTCAGTTTGATCCACTGAGCTGTGATCAATTACCAGTATCATATATCTGACATATGGATGGAATTTACCCTTGAAACTACCATATGATCATGAGTTAGTAACTGCTCGTTATCGTTGTTGTTTTACCTATTGGAAATATTTGAACCAATGAGTGCTCCCCGTAATAGAAATAATAAATTGCTATTTCCTTTTCAGGATGATTCAAAGAGCGAAGAAGAGTCGACTTTACACAATCAGAGGTTGCCCCAAATTGGCGACACATACATAGATCCATTTCAGCCTGTGAACTCTTGTGCCTCTACTACAAACAGTGTTGTCAAGGATTATGCTGAGCTACCCTCCCAAATTCCACTACTGAATATGGATGTTGCTAAAGATTTGCGTGCACAATCATCATCTTCTTCTTCAAGGAGCGTGCTTGCGAATTTTGCTAATATGATGGTGATGCAGGAGGCATGCCTTCGTGCGTTGATTGACCCAGATCAGGAATTATCCTGCAAACTATGGCGTCAGTCCCCCGAGGCTTTGAAGAATCACTACGCTCTCGAAGTTGAGATGGCATGTTCTGGGGGGTATGTGCCAAATATAAATGCTCCTGGGAATTCCCAGGTCAATTCACTTCTTCAGCTGATCAAGAATCCAGTAAACCAGTCTATGCGGCTCATCAATGTCAAGGGTCACGTGCCTGCTCTCAGGTGCACATAACTCATGCAACCTTATCTTCATACTCCCTCCGTCCGGAAATACTTGTCATTGAAATGAATGTATCTAGATGTATTTTAGTTCTAGATACATTCATTTTCATCCATTTTGATGACAAGTAATTCCGGACGGAGGGAGTACTTAACTTGTTAAGATATCACAAGTACATACTAAGCATCAGTTTCAGTCAGTATATTCTTAAGGTTACGCCTACTACTGTGCTATGAGTCCATTGAAGAAATTGTGACCTTTATATGGTAACCCATCCATTACCCTTTGTTGTATTTGACATGCAGTGCTGACCCAATTGGGAGCTGCTTTATACGGCAGAAACTTGACGAAGCAACTACTGGAGAGATAGTTATGCTATATAAAGAAATCACGCCTCACATCCTTACACTGGCCACTGATGCCTTTCCCACTTATGTTATCCAAAAGGTTTTCTTCCTCCAATTCCTATAGAATTTTGTACCTTGAGTCTCTAATTAAGGATGTGGAGATTAATCGGACATAAACTTGTATACTTACCTTCTAATTTTTTTTGTAGCTTCTTGAGCATGGACCAGCAGTCTACTTCAGGATACTAATTGCTAATCTAATGGGGCATGTGTTAGACCTAAGCCTTCATCTCTATGGTTGTCGGGTGATCCAGAAGGTAAGCTGAACACTATCACTTCTCTAACATCTCATGATGGAAGGAATTAAGGTGTGCTTGTAGATTGCAAAACTGCACTTTTATATTTGGAAGGCCTCTACTTTGTAATGTCATGTAAGATAGAATATGTAATTTAGTCAAACCATTCATTCTCATTTATTGTCTTCTTAATATGTCCATTATCTTAGATAACTTCTATTATAAACATAGTATAATGTCAAATGCATAAATAGTTTAAGCTGATTATGTTTCATTATGTTTTAAGTTTTTACCCTGGTATGCCATATTGTTTCGTTGCGAGCTTGGTCACTGATGGTGTCTCTTTGTTCAGGCTTTTGAAATAAGCGGCATTAGTCAACAAATAGGGATGGCCACGGAGCTTGATAGCAACCTATTCAAATGTATCTGCGATCAACATGCAAACCATGCCGTTCAGAAATGCATGGAGTGTGTGCAGCCACAATATATCCAATTCATCTATAGACGATTATGTGGCAAGGCCAAGATGTTATCCACCCATCCTTTTGGATTCCATGTGGTTCAGGTTGTTAGTTTGGGCATTACACTTTTTACCGCTTCCTATCTTTCGACGTTTGTTTGTACCTTGTTCACTAATTATTCCTCCCGTCCTCGTGATCTTCTTAGAAAATGCTGGAGTTCTGCAAGGATCCTCAAATTATGGACAGGTTTATCACAGAGATTCTCGATTGTGTAAAGGAGTTGTCTATAGACCCATATGGAAACTACGTTGTGCAGGTAAAGTGTGTAGTGGTTTGTAATTGATGAAATATTATCGCGGCTTAACAAACAATTCACATGTGTGTTCTATCGACATGTTGCAGTACATTGTGGAGCATGGAGGACCTCGTTATCGACAAATTATTATGTTGAAACTTGCTGGAAGCATAGTACAGATGAGCCACCAGAAGCACTCTTCCAAAGTCATTGAGAAGTGCCTGATCTATGGCAGCTACCACGATTGCAAGCTTCTCATAAATGAGATCCTTTCTGCAGGCGGTGGTCAAACTGCAGATCATCTCGTGGTATGTGGCTCTTGAGGTCTTACCGCCGTTACTCGACATCCCTAGAGAGATATAATACATATGAGACATGACTAATCTTGCGTGGTTGCCTGGCCATGCAGGGCATGATAATCCACCAGTATGCAAACTGCGTGGTGCGGCAGATGGTTGACGTGGTGAACGATTGGCAGTTCAATGTGATCGTGGATGTGCTGAGGCGCAACAGGGACACTTTGGTCATGTACGCCCATGGGAGGCAGGTCATCGCGCAGGTCGAGCGGCTCCTCAACGGCATGGCACCATCCCCCGACTCCTTTGGGCAAACATCGTCGTCGTCCAAGTTCGTCTAGCGTGTTTTAAATTGTTTTTACAATGGTTTGCGTCGTATGTCTCTCTTCTTCATCCTGGAGCATGAGAGATCGGCAGAAATTGAATTAAGGTGAACTCAGTTGCTTTCGTTTTCCCCGTCAGGTGAACTAAATCGTTTCTGTAGAGGAGAACCGAACTATAACCTCCTCTGGTCAAAGGATTTGTCAGGCACCCAGCCTACCATTATCTATGAATTGAACTATTTGTTTTCCATGCCATTTTGTGAGGGCTTCATCACTTTAGTTTAAGACTTCAAATATCTTGCTGGTTGGTTTCACCAGGCATATGCATGTTCCAGGTCGACCAAGCAGTAAAAAATATAGTAGCTAGACGGCTCATTCAGGCTTTGAATTCAGAAACATATAGTATATCACTTGATGCATCATTTAGGTTTATTGTTTTGTGGGTGATGCATCATTTTGGTTGTGGTGGGCAGAGTGTGCTTTAAGGTACCGGTTGGGCCTCGCAGCGTCGTCGAAGGCGTGGCTGTAGGCACTGTGGCAGATGGCAACTGCACTGTCAGTTTCTAGGAGGAATGGTGCGCGGCTCCACTCAATGGCAAGGGCAGCTCCTTCCATGCACGCCGCAATACTTTGATCAGTTAATTCGCTTGGCTTAAGCAGTCCTACGCTCCTACTGCCCTAGTTTAGTATGTATTCCCACAAGAAAAAGGAGACAAAACAAAACTTGATTTGCATTGATCTAACAGAGGACTCCATACATACGTACCTTGCAGATCTAAACACCATCTAGCGGCTATACTTACGCGACAGGATAATCTCTCAGGTGGGCCGCATGGCAGCTGCACCATCCTCCTGATCGTCGTCGGCTCTAAGAGCATCTTCAATAAATGATGTAAAACACAAAAGTGTTAGTAGTAAAATTTACATCATCAAAAAGTGGGTTTTACATCACAAAAAACCTCCAACTCCAACGAATCATGTAAAATAGGACATTAGCATCATAGACTTTCTAGATCGGTTAGGCTAGGATTCCGGCAATAGTGGTGATAGGCATTACTTTTCTTGGCCTGAGGAGCTCCCGCCGTTGGCCATGGTGGATGGCTACGGCGGTGATGACAGAGAGTGAGTGGGTAGCGGCGGTTTGGAGGCAGTGGCTGTGGTGGAGCTGTGGAGCTTCCCATCGCTCTCCGGCTTTCCTCGATCGGTCAGGTTATGGAGGTGGGCGGCTATTCTGTTTTTTGGCGTTTATTCCCTAGTGGCCCCCACCTCCCTCTTATAGCCGACGCGACAGGGGCCCACAACCCAGTTGGGTTGGGCTCCCCTGATCAGGGAGCGAGTCAACGGTACAATGGGCCTTTGGGCCCATTGACGGAGAGATCAATACTAACATTCTCCCCCTTGATCTCATCTTTCAATTTATAACTTTGTACTTTGAAATAACTCTTTTCAAAGTACTCATTTCATCACAGATTAATGTGTATGAGCTGCCCTATCGTCACGGTCAATCGCCGATGGACTTGACACCTACAACACACCTCTCTGTTTTGAAATATATACATTGACTTTTGGGCCCTTTATTATCCGGAAAACATAGACTATATCATAAACCCATGTCGACTGTGTGTTCTCTGAACGCACTGGGCGGTAAGCCAATTCATTAAGTAGATCTGCAAATACTTGTCTGTTGCTTTCATGCTCCAAGCATTTCAATATAATTCCGGACTTTCTCCTTAACAACGTATAACTTTGTGTCAGTGTGTTTGGCACCACACTTGACTCGTTGTCATAGGAGCGAATTACTTAATGGTTATCGCTGTCAACCATTATCAACTCCGGGTACATGTTTCTTTAACCTTTTTGCCTGTCCCTCAACCTCATATCATGTTGTACAATATCTTTACATCATATTAATGATAATTGATTCATTCTTTAGAGTTTTTCCACACAAAAACTCCAAGTGTGAAAGTCAGCGACAATTGTGGATTTCGCTGTATATTTCACAAGTCCTGTCTTTGTACTCATAATCTTTTGAGAGCACTTATTTCTTTCAGCATGAGGCCGATATCCTTAACTCCATTCCAGTGATCTATATCTGGACTGGACATTATCAAAACAACCCGGTTATGTGAACTGTGTCACGGTAATGTTATACTTTTGCATTCATTAAGCTTCCAACAGCTGAAGCATATGGTACCATATTCATTTGGTCTATTTCGTATTGACTTTTGGAACACTAAAGTTCCCAAAATCATTGCCCTTTACTATAAGAACAGGCGTAGGTTTTCTCACATGCATACTTTAGAAACTTTCCTTAGCATGCCCATGCGACACTCCTAATACCCCTTTTATTCTTTTCTCGGTGAATCTCGATCCTTATAACGAGAAACATTCTTTTGAGCTTTGAGGACAAGAACTTCTTTTCCTCCTGCAGTCGAGTTAACATCACTACTAAAAAGTAGAATGTTATCCGCATGTACAAGATATAGGAAATGAAATTCCCATTCTATAACTTTATACAAACACAATTGTCCTCTCATTTTCTTTAACCCAAAACAACATTTGATTGCTTTAGTCCATAAAAGACTTCTTCAGGTAGTATCCCCTGTGTTCTTTACTTTCATCTGATGTAACTCAGATCATAATATCTTTCATCTGATGTAACTCAGATCATGATGTGCTCCAACACTCATTGTAATCTATTTAGTGTAAAATGTGCAAAAACCTTTCGATTTTAGTCGTGTTTTACACCTTTACATATTTCCTTTGGAGTCACATTGACCTTGTAGACTCTTTACAGCCTACTGTTTTGGCTCCATTGGAAATTACTCATGAGTCCCGAACATCGTCAAAATTCATCAATTTCATTTCATCTCACATAGTCTCTTATCATTTAGATAAGCAGACACTTCTCAAAACTCGATTGAGCGCTTTAAATGAGGTGGGATCAACCTCCATTTGAATTTCGCTAACATAGACTTTATAGTAATCAGAAGTATCTGATTTTCTCATTCCTTGAGACCATCTGTGTCTCAGGTACTAGCACTTCTTTCATATGGGGCTGTTGTTGCTCTGTCATTGCCAAAAGGCAAATTATTGTATAGTCTTTTATTTCCAAGAGGTAATAGGTTTTACAGGAACCTTTATCATAAGATCCATGTTAAATCATTCCTCCTTTATAGAGCTAACAATGGGCGTTGTATAGGTCATACAACGTGCTCCCCCAGATACAATCTATTTGAGTCTTAGGTATCTTCATACCATGCTCCCTCAGATTACTCCATCTTCACTAAGAATGGTGTATCTTTAAACTTTATTATTTGGGTTTATTCTGTTAAAACTTTCTTCTTTATGGCACTTTAAGCACCGTCTTAGTATTCCTTAGTCTTCTTTTCTTTAGGGGTATTATTATAATCATCGTACTCCCCTGGACGATCACATTCTTCATTAATGGGTATCTCATATTTCTTTCTCCCCCTCGAAATGTGGCAAGAACTTTTCTGCCACAATTTCGAAAAACCATTCACAACTCTTGTGAATTGAGGAAACTTTGAGTATCTACTTCAGTTAACTGATAACTTCATATATGAAGTAATCAGTTAACTGGCATGGGAGTACTTTTTCCTTATTCCATTTCAGAAACTCAACAGAGTTCTTTATCATTAATACTTTTGCAAGTCACACTTGCATATCATTCTTATCTTTAGGTTCGTCTGTAACTTTTATTCTCTTCGGATTTATTGAGTGCTTAATGACCGTTACACATAAGATGTACGGTCGATACGAGGAAGGCATAATAGCTACTCCATACTTTTCTCCCAGAGTGGGACACATTAAAAGCACATGAGTCATCATGTTTTTCTCCTGTCATACATGATAAGTCTGAGAAAATTTCTGCCACCATACGGGTTACGCAGGGATTTTCCCAGACTTTTCCTGCCATGCAGGTTTTATCATAATCATCTTTTCCCGCCATGCGGGTAATTCCCTGTAAGGGACATAAATGCCAGAATTGGCTCTTGTGACTGCATATTCAATCATCAAATTTATAAATAAATCCGAATATTCTTTAATACACATGCTTAATCCGACGTTGGTCAAATTAATCACGCATATCACTTATTGCATCTCATAGAAGATGAGAATTCTTTTCCATGGAGAGTACATGAAGACATTCGTCGAGCAAGACTCTCAATTATATCTCTTTTCTTTTGAAGTCATTCTTTAGAGAGAACATACTCCCTTACGTTGACCTTTCTTGGTCATCTCTCGGGTCACAAGTACCCAGCCATTTGCTTTCACGAATGAAGGCATGGAAAACTTTTAGTCTGAGAAAACTTAACCAATAATCAACAATAATGAGCATAAAAATAACCCCATGTTTATCTAGTTAAAAAAATATGCACATTAAACTTTCAAAACTTTCTTTTATATTCTAAATCACCGTTGGGCAGAATTAGAACAAAACATCATCCTTCTACATTGATTCCATATCACCGTTGGGCAGAAATGGAAATAACGCATATAAGTCATAATTAATGTGATGATTAAATTTCTATTAAGCAACTTTCCTAAGAAAATAATCATCATTATCAACTTTATTGGAGGGGAAAACTAGCAATATACATTTCTCAGTCTTTATCAAATTCTCTGAAAATTGGTCACTTTGATACAAAATTTATCAGAGATTTGAACTTTTAACTATAAGACTCATTGAATTATAATATTGTCATCATCAACGTTGGTCAGAAAATAACAATACCATAATTAAACTTTAATCAAATATCTTAGTACTGTCATAGCAGAAGCTATCTGAATCTGATTTCACCCATAAGTGAAAAAAACTTCTCTTATAAACTGTTCTTCCAGTTAAGTTTTCCCGTTGGTTCCAATTTAATTGAAGGATAAAACTTTTACTTTACAGCGAAACTTGACAATATTCTATTCATAAGAATTTTCTTTTTCTTTTAAAAGAGCACTTTTATTTATTTTGCAGCGGAAAACATGAATTAAAAATTCAT